CAAATGTACCTACTTGTATGAGAAAAGACATTTAACACTCAAAATATCGTGGTCTGTGAATTAAACCAATCTTACCTCATAGTGAATATCGATCCTTGCACCTAAATAACAAATGTACCCAAATCGGTTACGGCTTCTTGACACGACGACGATCGATTGGTCATCCCCATTTAGCATTTGCGGCGTGAAATTACGAGAGTTACTACAATAAATGACACAGCTGCTGCATGTAATATTTTGGGAATTCTTCTTTGAATCTTTGAAAAAAAAAATAAGGCATCTGCAAATTAAATGATAACGGTGGTCTTGGCACACATTCGGATGGCTCGTTTGATACCCGTCTATTTTATTTTATTTTTATTTCTAAAAATCGCAAATAGTTTGTAACGCCATCACATCATAATAGCAGTGAAGAGTTTGTAATCACGAAAATCTCGTTAAAAATTATATTATTGTTATATTTATTTTACCCATGAAAATTAAATTCGTTTCACCTTTCGATAATTGGATACATAGAACAACCCTTTATTTATCTGAATGGGTGGTCGAAGGCAAGATACAAAATTTGTCTTTTAGAACCACTGCGTAGATCTATACAATGTCACAATATTATCATTGACTTCCTGCCCTGGTCCTAATTTATTTGGCTCTACTGAAATTTGCTTCATCCATGCTTCTACATCAGTTAACAAAATATTAATCAATAACAAAATATTGCCTATTTTGCCTTCATTAATAGTTCGAATAGCCTTCCGCGTATTATGTAGCTTCCTGTGGATGAAAGAATTTTATAATCGGTCCAATAGTTTTGGAGTCTACTCGAAGCAAATATACAAGTAATAAAATCTGTCCTATTCACAATATGAGGATAGATTGCGAATTGGAAAAAAATATCTTTACCTACTCCTTTCCTAAGACTTTCACTACGTTGTCATTTTTTTATGCAGATATTTAATATTATTACTCGACAATACTAATTTTTATTTTATATAAATATCAATATAATTAAATATTTTTTTGCTATTAAAGCAGGGCGGAGGTTTTCTGTTGGTTATTGATTAAATGATAGCCGCCGACTTCAATAATAGTTTCTTGAATAAGTATATTTCTCACCTTTTAATAGTTTGTAGTCGGTTCTAATTATTGAAAAAAAAAATATATATATAAACCATGCCGATATTTTTATACGTTGTTAATTTAATTACATTTACGCATTTTTAACACAGACAGAATAATAATTAGCAACTTAGGCCTAACATTGCAACTGGCATACCGCAGCGATGCAAATGGCGAAAACTCGGCGAATATTCTCATATTTTTCTCACTCAGTTACTCAGAATACGCGAAGAGCAAAACACTGATTTTCAGTACATACCAATCTATTTTATCAGCTTTTATATATTTTTTTATTTACATCTTTATTGCTTTTATTTTAAAACCTTGGAACGCATCCATAATTCGATACTCAACGCAATTCCATATATGCGGTTTATTGCCCATATTAAGATCAATGTCAAAATCTATTTTATATTTAATATATATAAAATAAAATTTTATATTTAAACCTTGCTTTCTGCCAGCGGCTTCACCCATGTTTACGGCCCTATATTATACTTATAAACCTTCCTATTGAATATCTCAGTATATTGATGAAAACCGCGTTAAAATCCATTGTGTACTTTAAAAAATCTCAGAGTACAGACTGAGCGAAGAAGCTTTGTTGGATACGTATAAAAGTAGCATAGAAAATAAGAAAAAATGCTTTAAAACTTGCAACAAATATTAAACACGACAGAAAACAGCCTTTTTACACGATTGACCAAAAAAGAAGTGTATTAGATTTAGAGTTAATGTATGTATGTCCGTTTGTGAGTTTCTTTAGTCCACCATAATTTTTGAAATATATACTTAACGGAATTGGATGTAAGGGTACCTATCATTAGAACCGTTACATCATCCCGAGAGACACTGCCTACATTTTTTAAAATATTCAATATGGCGATTGTACTTTTTAAACTTTATTGACCTCCAGAAATGGTACAAAAATTTTATTCTCTCTCAGTCAACTATTATGGAAAATGATAAACGCGATTAAAAAAACAAAGAAGTTTTTGTCTTTAATCAATAATTAATTGGGTATCAAATTCTCTAAGTTTATAATATATCATTTGTGTACGTATAATTAAGTAGCTGCTCACTAAAAGGATTAAAATAAAATAAATAATTTAAAAATTTGTTATTTTATTTTAGTTCGATTTTAGCAGTCATGATTTTAATTCTATTTTTCAGTCGTTATTTTGTTTTTTTTTTTAAAGAGAGAGACATTAAGGTTATAGAAAATTATCAAAATATTTTTTATCACTCACATTAATTTAAGATAAACTCCCTGAAGTAGTTGAAAGAAATAATTATAGAATTATGTAATGTAAACATAATATGATGATTGATGAAACATGGTACACATATAGGCATGTGTTGCGGTAAATCGTTAGAATTCTATTATCATTGGTGGTTTTTGGATGGACTTTTCTTGGTTTAAAACAGTGCACATCATCAATGACTATACATACCTACTAAATAAGACATAATATCGATAAATCTAAAATCTCTGTACCCGGAACAATCATTCCGATGTTATCAAAAACAGCAAATAGTCTCCGTATCTAATGTAAGATCAAAGCTGTTTTAGAATTTTTCCTTGTTATTTTTACCATAAAGTATTACATTACTGAAGCGGTGTGAACATTAAAACCAAAACGAAACGTGATTGCAATAATTCTTAATCGAATTTACCGATAAATATCGAATTAATGCGATCATTCGTTGTAAAATGCATTCTCGATTTAACACTGCTGCCGATTTGGGAACGCACTATTTACGATTGCGTTCCAAATTCGAATTTAAAATTCAGATCGCGGGTCTGGCGGGTACCGAGCTTTATGTGTCTGCAAAAATGTTTATTTGTCCGCGACAGACCTTGTAAACCTTATATGTGTATAAATAAAGGCTAAAATGGTTTTCCTTTAACGAAAAACTAAATTCGATTCTGCTTTTATTACATTTTTTATAGTCCGTTGACCCTCATGAATTATGAACCTTATTGCTGTGGAAATACGAATCACATATGAAAGTTACAAGTCCAAACGTAAGATGGTCGATGTTTTTACAATTCATTTGACGTTTTCGATAACTGTCAATCGCGGTCGAGTCGGCCATAAGAAAGAAATGTATTTATTTGCCGATGATATTGGCTTTATGGGTTCTTTTTCAAAGAAATTGCAGAAATGCACGTTTGAATACTTATAGGAGTTTAGGGTTGGGAACTTTAAATATACGTGCAATGTATTTTTATAATACTTAAATCTACCATACTGATCTTGCTTTTGCTTTACAAAAGAAGATGAAAAAGCGGTAAACAAAGAAGCAACCTGACTTTAAGGGTCGGAGCATATTTGTCGGAAGATTCGTCGCATAATTATCTGGTGCAGAACGTCAGAGGTGCAATCACCTCTAGCTGACGCTCACTTCTTAGAGATGTTGAGTGATATTTCGTTTAATTTTACTAATTTGACATGTACTTTTATTACGACGAAGGAATGATAAAGAATGATGATTATGGATTGATGGGCTAACTTAGAAATTCATGCAGTAAAATATGTCAAAGTAGACAAATAAAACGAAAAATCCCCATAACATCATGGACTACAAAGCGCGTAGCGATCGTAGCAAATTTCTCGTAGTACTTGAAAACATATTACACCAATTATTATATTTGATCAATTTTAAATTCACAATGCTATACTGAAAAATATTCTTATTGAACACTGCTTAAAAATCCACTTTGTCCCTGGCACTCTGAAATGGGAACCCGAATCATCTTTCGCAAACTAGGCGACTGCTCTAACCAGTGAGCTACCCAGGACTTAACAGGACTGACGAATTTTTCAAGCACTTGTTACTTATTTGCTACTATAGAGCGTATTTTTATCAATGTTCAGATAATCCACCCAAACAGCCGAAAGAAACAAAGTGGATTTTATAAGCATTTTTCATTACGAATATTTATACCAACTTTCATTACTTATAGTTTTGGTAAAAACATTGTATGTATGTGAAAATTTCTTTAATAATAATTTTTCACTTTTAATAATCAATATAAAGTCTTTTTTTTAATTTAGCTAAACTTTATTGATTTAACTCTTCAAAAACTATTGTATATACCTATTGAATGAAACTTATGGAATTCCCTAAGTCGAAGGTCAAAAATTCCTAGAAAAAAAATAACGATATAATTAATAAAGGCTACAAATAATTATTTATTTCTAATAGATTGGTGGGAAATAATATTGCAGATTCAGCCGTGCTATTCAAGGTAACCAAAGAGTTTGAGGTGATTATTTTCTGGCCACCCATCATATAATAAGCTTATATAAAAGTTTTTTAATTTCGGCAATGACTACACTATAACTACTTCAGTTTCGATCTCGTAGGAAAAGTAAAAGAATAAACACAATTGTCACTAATAAACTATCACCAAAACTGTCTCCCTAAACATTGGGGTCAGCGATTGAGTTTTTTTACGACGCCTAAATCGTCGGAGTCGTCAAATCAATGGAATGGGTCTCGTCATTTAAGCTAGAGATAATAAAAAAAAACCGTAGTCAGCGTCCCGCCTACCGAACGGTCTGGCTACTCGATTTGACCATAGCCGAAGCTTGTTTATTTTTTAACCCCCGACGCAAAAACACCCTAGTGTTATAAGTTGGATGTGTCTGTGTGTGTGTCTGTCTGCTGTCTGTGCCATCATAGCTTCCGAATGGATAAAGCGATTCCATTTTTTTTTGTATTAAAGGTGACTTGCCTAATCTAGCCATAATTTCTGTTACATACATTAAAAAAAACATTAATTTGGTTTTCGAACATTAGCTTCTACGATAAAAAATAGACTTCTTTCCCGCTATTATTCTATGTTTTTCGTTTAGAAATTATTTGTTTTGAAAATGGAGTGGATAGTGGATATGAATAGGATTGCAGGCAATTGCACCGTAAAAAGTAGGTAAGGAACCAACCGACATTTGTGAGACATTGAAAAGGCAAGGAATCAGCCGAATGTTTGTGTATCGTACCATCCAAAGGTACACTGAAACCGTGTGTGTTGATGACCGTGAGAGATCCGGCCAACCGTGTTCTATTCGATCAAACCAGGCCATTAATGCAGTCAAGGCCAGAATTCGTTGAAATCACATAAGGTAGCAGAAAATCCTTTCCAGAAAAATAAGGACACTTTCTCGGATTATCAAACAAGACTTAAGTCTAGGGGCCTACCGGATATACACAGGACATACCTTAAATCAGGCACTAAAACAAACCAGAGTCGAAAGATCAAAAGAGCTGTTACTTCGATACGCGGACGAAAAACAGAAAAATTCTCTTTACCGATGAAAAATTTTTTATAATCGAGGAGCACTACAACAAATGATCGAGTGTATGCACATAGCTCTAAATAAACTTCCGAGGTTGTGGCCAAACTCCAGCGAGGCCATCATCAAGCATACGTCGTGGTTTGGAGGGGTGTCTCCTACCAAGGGGTTACAAAACTCCATTTTTGCGAAAAAGGAGTGAAAGCATCAGCCAAAGTGTATCAAGATACCGTGTTAGAAGCGGTAGTAAAACCTCTCAGCAACACCTAGTACTCAGAAACGAAGTGTGGACATTCCAACATAATTCAGCCCCGGGTCATAAGGCGCGCACTACCCAAATTTGGCTTGAGCAAAATGTTCCACACTTCATAAAAGGTGATGATTGGCCTTCGGCTAGTCCGGACTTAAACCCTTTAAATTGTGGTCTGTACTAGAGGACATGGCCTGCTCTAAGCGTCACCCAAATATTGATTCGGTCAAGAAATTTTTGGAGGCAGCAATGACCAAGTTTCCAATGGAAACCTTTCATAAATCCATCGACGAATGGCCCGACCGTTTAAAAGCGTGCGTTAAACGCACTTTGAATAACTAGTTTAGTACGTTAACATATCTTTCTTCTCTTTGTAACCGAATTTATGGCTAGACTAGGTATGTGCGAGTGTTTTTAGACATGCTTAATTAAAATCGGTAGAGCCGTTTAGAAGTTGTGGGGGCTGAAAGTGGGGAAGACTAACCGAATAACTGAAAATATACTCAAGTCAAATGAAAGCGCACAGAAAGATGATAATATTGATGACTTAATCAAGAGTGTTCTTAGCTTCGGTTGATGGAAAAATTATTATATTATATAGTTGGAGACTAATATAAAGTAACAATTATTAGTTGCAGAACTAAAATAGTTATTAATAAGTAAAATTAAAGTGAACAAGCTTGACCTTAAATGTAATCTTTACCTTTAATATAAATTTGAGGATTTTCGACAAGAATCTACATTACAATAAGTATGTACCACTCCAAACCTAACATATAAATACGGTCTCCAACGCGACTTATTTTTTTAGAATTATTAATACATATTTTGGAACTTTTATACTGCGTTTCTTTTATTATTTAAAGGGATCTTAGTTTTAGTGTCGCGGGCTTTTTAATTTTTTTTTCAAGAGGGAATATTTTTTTTCCTAATTTAGACTTATTGTTCATTTTAGATACCAATATTTTTCTTATTCAAGAAGGTTATCTACCTACCTATTACTGCTAATATTATAAAGAGGAAAAATTCGTTTGCATTGAATCGGCTCCGAAAATAATGTACCGATTTTAAAAATTCTTTCTCCTACAGCAACCTACATCATAATATCATATATGATGTAGTAGCGGGTAATTTAGGTTATAATTTACACGGGCGAAGTCGCGGAAACATATAAGTATAAAGCTTCTTGATTATTTATTTCTTTTCTTCAACGTCTACTATTTATAGACGTGGACGTTAAAGTAGTTTGTGCTAATTTAAGTATTCAAAATATCTTTGTTCGTCTAAATCTAATAAAAGTATGCATTCGACTTTATCAAGTCATCAAGTCTATTTTTAATATAATAATTTAGTTAATATATATAATTTAGACAACTATATTAAGTTATAAGGAGTAACTCGGATAAGCGCAAAGGCCCGCGGTCGTTGTTGTTAAGCAACTCTTGCAAGAGTCAGTGATGAGATGGGTGAACAAAAAAAATATTATCTCGCACTACTCCGTGCTTCGTTGCACGTTAAGCCGTTTGCCCCAGGCGCATTGGCATTGGGTTATGTTTAAGGAGTAAAAGGGCTGATGATGATGATGATGGTTAAGTGATCGGTTCAGTCACCCAGATTGCTAGAGATCTTAAATTTTTATCTACCACGGACTGGCTTATACCAGTTATTCCATACAGGATTAAAGCTCAGATCCATATGTATTAAGTTTAAATGTTATTTCACCAGGTAACGACTCGGAGCCAGACGCAGAAGACTCAAGCGACACTCCTCGAGAGACTAGCAAGGCGAGGAGACGTCGCACCGCATTCACATCTGAACAGCTACTGGAGCTCGAGAGAGAATTCCATGCGAAGAAATATCTAAGTCTAACAGAGAGGTCGCAGATTGCGGCCGCACTCAAACTTAGCGAAGTTCAGGTATATATAACACCGAGCACAAACGATCTTTAAGCTTTAATAACAGCTTTAATTTATTTAAAATAAATCTCGAAATTTATGTAGGTAATGTCGCTTCAAGTAATACATTTAAACGTTTGTGCAACAAGCTGAAATTAAATCGTATCATTTATTAGTATTATCCCGACACCTCTTTTTCGAATGAACATAGAAAATTGTTCAGTATGGTATTTAGAAATAACTTATCTCTGTTTTTTCATCAGGTCAAAATATGGTTCCAAAACCGGCGCGCGAAATGGAAACGAGTGAAGGCAGGCCTCGCGTCCGGCAGCCATTCGAACGGCAAAAATGGTTCAGGCACAAAAATCGTCGTCCCAATACCGGTACACGTGAACCGGTTCGCGGTACGGACGCAACACCATCAAATGGAAAAACAAAATTTGCAATATAGACTCGACCGAACGCAACCGCTACCTGGGAGCTTAATGCAGTCCCAGTCCTCAGCGTTCCTCAACACTTCAAAACTGAACCAAACGGAAAACCGGCAAGAACCGAATATCAATTCGGTGATGAACAGAAACACCATCTATGACGCGAGTATGTCAGCTAGGTTAGCAACTATCACGCAAACCGCCAATTTGAGGCATTTTCAAAATGGCCGACCTAGTTAACTTTTGAATAACGAACAAGATAATGTGACTCCTTAACTTACTATCGCCTTAGCGTTTACTTTTATTAGTAATAATATGATTCCATGCATTACTTGTTAGTGATGTGATCAAATCCGATTGTTACTCACACTTTTTAAGTCAGAGTAGAGATCTAGCTACAGCCTGCCTAGCTTCATCTAAAATATTTTCTGCTGACAATTTTGACATGTCATGGTGTATATATGTCGCAACCAACTGATATAATCAGCGGACCGATTAGGCGGCTAGCCCTTTAATTAAATGAAGCCATTCAATTAATGGGTCGACCTTGACCAGCTGAATAACAGAACGCAATATTCTATAATACGGCTAACTAATTAATCGTTAATACCGGAATTTATTGGTAGGATTAGAAGTAAAGCAAAATAAGTATTATAGTGGTTGACTTAAAAATAATCCTGCTAAACTGCTTATTTGCATCTACTACCTATAGGAAACTAACTAGAGATGCAACGATATATCGAAAAGTTAATATATATCAATATATCGACGTCCAAAAATTTCGATATATATCGAACGAATAGCAATAATGATTTTGAAAAAAAAACAACTGTGTATCAGTATAAATGTGTATCGGTCAGTTGTCCAAGATCTAACATCCAAGAGCATCTTTACATGCGATATTACTTTAGTAAAACGTGTTCCATTATTTTGTAACCATGATTTCTTGCTTTAAAATTTGTAGTAATTTTTTATTATTATAATCTGTACTTAATTTAAAAAATAGTATTATTCCCAATGTAATCGCAATCTATTTAAAGGGGCAATAAGACCAAGAGCATGCCTTCTGAACGCCTTTTTTAAAAGCAACACGCATAGAATGACAAGATCACGGAATACTTTGTCTACATCAAGTTTCTCAGGTCGAGAGTCAGATATCGTATTAGCCTATCGCAAAAAGGTGACATTTGAGTCTTGAGTTCGTCATGCTACGCGTGCAGGAACAAACATAACATGAAATATGAACAGGCTTTGTAGCCATAGGCATAGGCAGTACCCTCCCCAAATTATTGGCCGAATGGCCGTTTTTTAAATTAAACGTATTTTTATTAAGATTTTTTAAATTTATTTAAAATCTAAAAAATATATTGATAAATATTCATATATCAGCTTTGTGAAGCGATATATCAATATCGACTGTTACCGATATTTATCATACTCGATATTTTTATGAAACATGCATGTTTAGAGCTAACGTACACACCCATAACGTAAGTGAGTTAAGTTTAAACTTTCACAATAAAATCTTATTACTAATACAATTATATATAGACAAGATATACCGCATCCAGGCGGCCACGTCGCTATCTATCGAAAATGAGTAAGCGATGTATTTGACTGCGATTGTTTTTGTATGGTTATTACGATTTCGAAGTTTGGTGCTACAATAAATAATAAGAACACAAAATGATAAACAAAGACGTTATATTGGCACTGTAGACTGAAGGTTACGTGATAGGTTATAAATTCAAGACGTCTTTAAATTTCGAGTTTTGTTTTAACTGATAACAAAACTAAATGATCCTTTCCGCGGCTTTTCAATTAGACGTCTTGTTGGACGGGTCAAACGACCAAGCGTTCAATTGAATAGCGCTATTCAATCAAATGGCTAACCTGGCTGTTTAAACCAGTTGGCTGCGACATATAAATTTTATAATAGTGGACAGAAAACTTTACAAATAAAGTCATTTGTGGTAGAATCCTCGTCATCAGCCCTGTTACGTCCCCACTGCAGGGGCTCACGCCTTCTTTATGGATGGTTAAAGCAGGGAATGTTAACTTGCTGTTAAAATCACAGTAAAGTAGAAATCAAAGAAATATGAAACTGACCGGTAAAGTTTTCAGTACACTCGAATGTGACGAGTAAAGTTCCGCAGGTATTAAAAAGTTTTAAAATTTGATTTATTTTTCAAGCAAGAAAAGTGTTAGTTTTTCCAAAATATTTATTTGTGGCTTATTTAAATTAAAATAAACACTTACGAGTACTTTTTAATCAGAGTAGAGTATTTTTATGAATATGATTTAAATGTATTTATAAAAGATATTTCATTAAAAAAAAAGTTAACGCCAACTACGTAGTAAGTTATTAAAGGCACTAAGAAAACAAAATGTATAGTTATTTAATTGTTTTACTTATAAGATATTGCCCAATTATATAGCATTAAGATATTTGATTAAACAATCGAGTGATTTACTATGTAGTTTTTTTTTAAACTCACTTTTTGCAAAAACGACAAATCGATACCAAATAATCAAGTCCAATTTTGACCTAAAAATTTACAAACGCGTCTAGTGATATAATATATCTGAAAATGTAGCTTAAATCATATCAGGAAATTAATTCTTAAAATAAAGTCAGGATAAAAATTGCGAGTATGTACTATGATAACTACTAGAATGCAATTCGGACCCTAAAATGACGGTTTGCTACGTTTTGTTTCATCTACTATTGAAAAATATTCTTTCTTCACAAGGTTAAAAAAATGCATATTGACAATTATTTTCATTATTTCCGTATTTACGAGTCAAACTATAAAAAGCTTTGATATTAATGGATTAAAGTAGCCTCCTAATTTTTAGTACCTCAAAACCTAATTTTCAAATTACGAACCTCCCTAACCTCCAATTAAAATGATGCTAAGATATTATTATATTTTTGGCAAAAACAAATTTCAATTATCTATCACAAAGATGGGTAGACACAACCTTAAAAAAACATATGACAGGTCAATGTACGGAAAGTGGACATGATTCTTTTGTTACAATAATAGAAAAAAATCTAATTTTAAATTTTCTCCGCTTGATTTTAAACCTCAACTTTCGTTCAAAATAAACTGCGGCAATTTGGAGTGTTGAAATAACTAGATAATCTTACTGGACGTACCGGTGTACAGTCATTAGCACAACTAGTTACTACAAAAGGCCAAATCCATTCGACCAATGAAAATTATATATCTATATAAAAAAATATGTTCCTGCGAACAATATGTTAATCATTAATGATGTCGTCTGCGAATTGGCAATTGATCTGATCTAGTATTATATTTAATTGAATAACATTAATTCTATATTTTATAATTTGCAGCTAAAGTGAACTAAACTTTGATCATGAATTCAAATTTAAATTTAAAAAAAAACCGGCCAAGCGCGTGTTGGACTCGCGCACGAAGGGTTCCGAACCAAAAACAAGCAAAAAATCACATTTGTTGTATGTTTTTTTTTTAAGCCCCTTAATTTTTTTGTAGTTTTTGTTCTGACGTCTAGAGAAATACATCATCTGTGAAAATCTCCATTGTCTAACTATCACGGTTCATAAGATACAGCCTGGTGACAGTAAAAAAAATCACGTTTGTTATATGGAAGCCCCATTAAATATTTATTTTATTCTGGTTTTTATAAAGGCGGTAACAGAAATACATCATCCGTGAAAATTTTGACTGTCTAACTTTCATGGTTCTTGAGATACAGTCTGGTGACAGACACAGACAGAGAGCGAAGTCTTAGTAATAGGCTTCCCGTTTTACCATTTGGTTACGAAACCCTAACAATGAAATGTACGAAAATCAAATATTTTTACTATCGCCTAAAGTTGTAAAATATTAGACAAGGCCAATTGCCAATATAGACAGAGTCTACTAAGTAACGATTTCTTTTCATATTAAGGAAATAATCAAACTGCATTTCCAGAATACACATAAATCTAGACCAGTTCATTACGTTTAATGGAGCTTCATTCGTCAAATAAATCAACCAACAATAACTAGACAAGAATGCAAGAAAAATTATCCAAACTTTTCCACTCCCTCGCACAATACATATCCACCCTATGCTATACAAATCAAACAATGAAAACGTCATCTTTCATTTCTTTTGTACTAAAATGTCAAAGGGCAAACGCACTACTAATAGTTTCGCTTTTCATAATCCAAACCCACCAAAAATAGGCCTTCACAACTACAAAATAAAGTTTACGAGCATCTATCATGATTAAAATAACAAAATTATATTTATTGATGAAAATTCAACTATATTGCTATCACAACAAGTATCATGACGAATGCATTTGACGCGTTGTTGGCCATGGAATAGATTTCGAGTTTGAAAGTTACCCCTGGCAACGGTCGCATATAACATTGAACTATTTCAGTTTTTAAATAAAGTTCAGAATTGTACAGCAAGAAATTGAGTTTGCGAAAATGGAAATAAAAGAATTAAGCTCAGCCACACCCACAAACATAAACTGGGTAGTGTGACCACAATAAATGACAGAATTGAAACCTTTTCTGGTTTAACAAATGATTCGTTAATTATTTCTAAGTGACTGTTGTAATGTGTAATTTCTGATCGAAAATAAAGTCTACATAATTATCATTGCTTTGAGGTCTTCATAAATATGAGTGTACGTTTTTTTTTTAATTTCATTACCAAATAATGAAATTAAAAAAAAAACGTACACCCATGAATCTAAGAAATGCAATGTAATGCAAAAAAATACGTAGGTATAATCCCCATAGCAGAAGGGTTTTAATCTGTCTGCGACAGAATATAAAAACCTGAAAATAAAATTCTGTTTCTGCTAGTGTAATTTTTTTATTTATGTAAGACTGCCGAACTGTCTGCAGACCTACTCGGCTGTCTGCGACAATGTCGCAGTGTCGCTCGTTGTTCTGCCTTGGGGGGTATAATATATGTTTATATTATCAAACGATTTCAATAAAAGGTCACATTGACACCTGATATCAATGTAAACAAGAATTGTTATTAATTAGGTAGGTAACTACTTCGAGGTCGCATTACACCCACACGCATGTTATTCAGGTGGGTATACACCGAGACTATAATTTAACAGTTCATTTAGCAAATATTTGACATAAAAGAGCACCAAACCAACCAAATAAATTTTTGAATTATGAAATCGTGAATAATGTGCATGTAATAATGTTCAATACAAATGAATGACTTACCCAAGTTTAACCCAAGGCCAACATTCGAATCTCACACTAAGTGATTTATGTGATACTATGAACATTAATTATGGTACTTTTTATAGTCTAGGATAGTAGGTATTAGCTTTGAATACCAACAAGCAAGTGTCAACGGGTCGCTAGTCTCTAATAAAACTACACTGATCAGAAAAGTAGATCATCAAGTAGACTTTTAAATGAAAATGACTACAACACTGCTCCCTATAAGTTCCTAATAACATTAAACAAACATATATTACATAATGCCATAACTTGCTCAGATATTAGTTAATTGCTCTAACAGTAATTATTCTGTTTGCACACAAACAAAATTTCGGATAATATCTATCGAAACGTTTTTATCATTTGTTAAAATGATATCTTTTTGTAAATTATATAAGCAGTGCCAGGTTGTTCCTCTGTTCTATTATAAATAATTGAAAAATGTTTCAAAAATGGGTGAAATTTCATTTTCGCAGAAACTAGGTCTACTGATTCGAGGGGATTGAATCCGGGTTTCTCTCAAAGATGGTGATACTGAAACAGGCCACTCTATAAAATTAAGAAATTGTTAGCCCAACAACAATGCGTTTGCACAGCGTCGTGTGGCCGCACAATTTGTCAAACATTTTTTTCCACGTAGCTCACGCGACGTATTCGTTTGCTGTGCGTCGCGTCACGCCCATAGATTAGTAGCATTCGGTAACGACATCTGTCGATGAAGGTAAATCTATGACAGTACATAAAACAACATGTTCAACGTAACACTTGACTAGTGTAAAAAATAAACTCAATTGATATGCAAATTCAGGAAGCGGAGGAAAAAAAGCGATATTTAACGCCAGTATTTAACTTAGTATTAAAAAAGATACAAAATCAAATCTAACATAAGCCCTACCTTTGAATCCAAGATGGGCAGAACGGCAAAGAGCTATTCTTATTTTTACGGACTTTTGGGAAACATGTAAAAATAGTAATAATAATGATAAAATAAAAGTGTAATCGAACCATTCCTAATGTCGTGTAATACTCATCGACCGCACCTAAGGATGCAAAAAAAGTCCAGACGAATTATAAAATCGTTTAACTAGAATAATCCAAAATCTGAACACGATAACTAATAAAATGTTAGTCGTGATTCAATAATTTATATTTTTACTTTAAAAATATGTTTTCTTTATGAAAACGTTAATCTATATATAAAGATGTCCTGACATACTGATTGACAGACAACGCGCAGCCTAAACGGCTGGTCGTAGGGACTTGTAATTTGGATAGTACATTCCTCTCATTGTGTAGTGGTGTACTAAGAACGAATTTTTGGAAATTCCACCCCTAAAGGGGTTAAAAAGTATGATAAGCTTGTATGAAAGTTTTTTGGCCTGAGCTCTTGCAGTGAAGACGTAAAAAGCCCGATGATGGTGATACTAGATGGCGTTTATTCTTAACTAAATTGCATAATTGTTTTCTTCATAAAATTTTGCGGAGATTTCAGATTTCGAATTCGTTTCGTGTGGACATTCGGTTTTATGTTTTTCTTTTCATCTGTATTTCAATAAGGATACATAGCTTTATAGTTTTCAGAGATACAGTACCTACTGTAACATATTGGACATAAGACGGGTTACATGTATAGCTGTTGCTGTACCTTAAATAAATAAATACTTATAGCTTTTTGTTGTATTGTTAATTTTATTCGAACATCGCCGATATTTTGCTTTTAATTAAAAAATATATAATTGTGTTTCGTATCGTAATCTTTGACAAATAACTAGTTCCTTGGGCTTTGTACAGCCGCACTGTAGAAGGACGTTGTGATGGTTACTCAGCTGATGAATGGCGCTATTCTATAATAGGGCTAGCCGCCTAATTATTGGACGGGTCTTTTACCCAGTTGAATGCCACATGTTCATTATAATATTAACAATTTAAGCTTTGAATTTCAATTTTAACAGCTGTGAGTTTAAAAGTCCACCAAACAATCGTTTTTTATAATGTTCTTAGTCTTTTTATTGCGGTTACTGTCTGGTGATCTCCTATTATATGATGTAATGAATGACAAGGAGAATCTTTTAATTATTCCATACTTATATTATACATGCGAAAGTAGATTAACGCTTGACCCACTAAACAGAGTTGACTTTAGACGAGAGATAGATTGCTTTTTACTGTGGTAAAAGGGTTGAAATAAGGAAGGGCTTAAAGTTTGTACGGATATTCGTCATTGTCAGAGTTAAATTCATGAAACTTTATTTCAGGTATTTTACACGATATAAATAATAAAAATTCGATTTAAAAATGCTACCAAAAGTAACTATATCACGCGGACGAAGTCGCAGGCAAAAGCTAGTCTATTATAATTAAATTAATAATCTCACAAACAAAAGTGTACGTTATTACGTGACTGATCCATCCGTCGTGTGTGGAAGGTTAAATGTCAATCATATATTTGTATGTTCCTTAGCTTGTTTCGATTCTGACGTTCTCTGGTTACGATGCATATCAGACGGAGATCCGTCCCGCAACTTCACTGTCTACCATACAAAAAAAAGTGTAATCACTTTAATATGGGCTTCTGAAATCGTTTAGTACAAAAAATAATAATAACAAACGACAATTAAACCCGACAAAAGGATCATAAACGCTTCACTAAAAATTGCTGTATGAAAAGTAGTGACCCTACCCTCGCGCCCTGAGGGATATCAACTGGCAAATGGCCGCCACGCCTCCAAAGCTTTTGTGATCCACGGGATTTGGCGCTTTTGTTAATTGTTGATGCTGTTTTGTTGGGATCGCGTTAAATGGCAGTTGAAATTAATAGGACTGATCTTTAAAATCTGTGTAATTCCCCCACCGATGTGTAATGCCATTATGATTACTAACTGTTGTTATTTTTATTATTCGTACTAAATGTTGTTCGTACTAAGTACAGAAATTATTGTTTGTTAAAAGCTAAAACGTAGGAGAGAGAATGTTTTCACAGTGATAAACTCCATGACAGAATGGCTCAGACGCCGCTCCTGTCGCCATCTTTGAAGTTCCTGGTTTGAATCCCAGCCAGCTTAATATAAAAAACTAGTGGCCGCCAGCGACTTCGTCCGCGTTTTCCATTATTTCTTCGCTCCTAATAGTTGCAGCGTGATGTTATAGCCCAAAGCCTTCCTCGATAAATGGTCTATTCAACAAAAAAAATAATTTTTCAATTCGAACCAGTAGTTCCTGAGATTAGCGCGTTCAAACAAACAAACAAACTCTTCAGATTTATAATATTAGTATAGATGAACTATTTAAAATTATCTCGAATATATATATTTACATATTTATGGCTAATTAGTAGTATTTTTGTGTTTTAGTTATACAAAGCTAGTATTCTTAAACAAGTAGATATAAATACATACTATTTACAATTACCAATTCGCAAACACATTTGAATCCATTACAATATCCACCCCAATCCAGTTGGATCCGCGTGCCGTATTAAATCTATTTTCGTGTTCTGCTTGTTATGTTAATGTTGTCGTTTTTGATCAGTGAGAGCGGTGATACGACTACAGAGATGAGATGATGGGTTTTACGGTAAATATCGATAATTATCGAAATTATAATTTTCATTAAAATATACACTACAAATACTATTAAAAATATATACTTTTAATAGTATATACTTTTATGCAGATTCGATCGATATTTTACAGATAGTAAAACTTAGGGACTTAAGGACTGTATTCTGAACTAGTATGTCTTCAATGCTTTCTCATAAGAAAAATAACAACACTGACCGAGTAATTAACTAGCTAAATCATAAATTCAAATTGCATATTTAATATCTTTTCATAAGTTTAGGCATACATTCAGCACTTGGGAGTTTCTAAAAGCTATTCCATCGGTTCTCAAACCTGTACCGTTGTTAAACTCAACAAAGATCCTTTTTTTTTCTTCCTGATATAAATGAGCATGCAAGTAAAATTCGAGTGAAACTAAGCATCCAGACTCGAGTTTTTAAAATGACCCAAGCTAATTAGATATAGCTAATAATCTATATGAATGAAAGAACTGTATAAACTATGATAAATTATTTAAAATAAATTGTCAGTTATTTGTTTTGTACGATGGTTTTTTCGGGAATATATTATCAATATAATACAATCATGTGACGCTGTTACGAGAAGTATTTCTCACAGTTATACTTCGTCCTAAGAACTAGTTTGATATTTGTAGCGGAAGTAATATCCAACAATGGCATTTAATGTTATAATTAATGTTATCATTAAAGTCCTTCGTTTAAAATTACTTTTATAATATTATCGATATCGATAAAAAACGTGCCTATCCCGGAAGGAAAGCATACGATGCATAAAATTCATAACGGAGTACTCTGGGGGTACCGCCACCACCCCATGAGATCACTCACAACTATGATTTAATGCAGTCTTGACTGACATGACAGTTTAAAAATTTTGACTATTAAAAACAAGTTTTTGCATATTTTTAGTTGAAATAATATTTAGCTTAATCCCCACAAATTGCTAATGCGCCTAGCCGCCATTTTGATGACGTAATAGCGTTCAAAATCAGTACCGTTAACAAATAAACACAGGTCGACTTATCGAGTTGGCTTCACAGAGTACATAATAATGTTGGATTGTGTTGAGACCACACATCATTTTTGTTATGTTTTTGTTAGTTTCGATTGTTGTTTTTTGTTGTTACTATGATGATATATTATGGTTGACTAAAAAAAACTGCTATTATGATTTTCACGATAAGTAAACATAATTCACTATTAGGAAATATATATCTAATTATTTTTAATTATGTTAAAAAAATGTCCTTTCCGTTTGTTATCGCGTTATGACAAAGTAAATGTTATTCTTTCATATTTTTTTTATTTCACATATACCTCAATATTTACGTATAAATTGATTCTATATTTATTCTATCCCAAAATATATACAATAAATTAACAAACCAAATGTTATTAAATTATTTTAACAATATTATAGGGATTATTCATAAATATTTATATAATAAATTAATTATTTATCTCTTGCCTTATGTGTTCACGCGGGTGTTATTTAGACAAGGTTCCAGCGCATTAGCAATTTACGGGAATTTTAAGCAACATACTATTTGTTTCAAGACTTTATTTTCAATATTATCAAGTTCCTTTTAGACTAACACAAACATACAAATGCAAAACTTATGAATCTTATGATATATGTTTTTATATTTATAAATATTTTAATTGTTACTTGACAGCTTACAAATTTTACATTTGATGGAAAATGCTAATGCAATTCAGTAATAGAAATAGCTGTCAGGAGTTTCAGCTACTATTTTTTGCATGATAATATGATTCCTCGTCTTGTAATATGAGTGAATAAAAATATTACAATCATTATTTGTCAATTTCAGTTGGCTATGGAGCGACCGATGAATGGACATTGAGCAATGTCCTTTAATCAACAGAAAAAAAAATCACCAAATTTTTAAATTCTCCATTATTTCCTTTTCTACTAGATTTAGTATTTTTAT